TTCTCTTCGTAATATATTTACCTTTCATTATCAGTTTAAGGAGGCTCTTTGTTGCTGAACCTTAGGAATGAAAACGGTGTAACCATCTTGCAGACGAATCGCTTTAAACCCACACATCACTTGTTTTTAGGTTGTATGCTTCCTTGTACTAATTTTTTTTTTCACATTTAAAATTTGACTAATTTTCTGATTCTAACTGTTATAAAATGCGGCATGTTCATACGTATTTTATGGTTTTCCTCAAAATGCGGCATGTTCACTTGGTTTGTGATTTTTCTGCCAGCTTTTCTTTTACTTTCGCATTTTTACTTTTTTCCATAAAAATCTATGTTGTCTCTATTGTACGACTTTTATAGTTCAACCATGGATTGCAAGTAAAATCATTTTTTTTGCATTAATTTGAATTACATTGTCTCAATCCATAATTGAAATTTCTGTTTCATACATTAGAAGAACAAATAATACCAACAAAATTGTACACTATAATCAGTATTTAATCAACAACATAATTTTGGAACATAACTTATAATTCAATTATAAATTAATTACAACTTAATGATAACAACAAATTGGGTCGGCTGTGCTGTGCACAACCGCAAACAAACTAGTATATATATATATATAGTTATAATTAAGACAATCATATTGTCACTAAAAATGCCACTGATTATGGTTATTCTTGTAGTTTCTCGGATTTGAAGGCGGCTGTCCCGGTGAACATCTTATTTCAGGAGTTTAGAACGTTGGAACGTCGCGAAACTTTACCAACAGGTTCGTCACCCATTTAGCTTCATTCTGAACGGTGGAAATCGAATTTTGACAAGTTTAGAGCAATCTGCTCGTGGCAAAACATATCTGGTGCAGCCTTGGTTTTGCCGATTTGTTTAGTTTGGTTATCTCTTGTTTGTTGCCAAGATGATGTGTATATTTTGATGGTGTTGTTGCTACCAAGATTGAATTTTTAAATCTTGATGTTGAACTGGAGACGATTTGTGGTTGCTCATTATTGTTTATAGTGGAAGAATTAAGCGGCTTACGGTATCGTGTTTTTTAATCTCGTTTGGGAGGTTTTCCACGCTAAAATTTCTGGTGTTCCGTTGTTGCGTTTTGTTGACGTTACTATACTCTACTGCTTTGTTGATTTCAACAACTTTGATTATTAAGGCCCCCCTTACCGAAATATATAAGAAAAGCTTATGCCGAAAAATTAAAACCACGATTATATCAAGGCTAAAAAAAAGTAATCGACACTCTTTAAGCTACAAGCTATATATGAAAGACATGCATTCGTAAACTGAAGACTGAAGTAATTAAACCAAAAAAAAAAATGATATAACTCAGTCATCAAGCAGTTTACACTCGATGCTCAAGAAGCTAATCCTCTTTGCATCCACATCAAACCCAATATTATAATACTGCTGAGCATACGCCCCAATTATACCAAACCTCGATGTAGTAACCGCCATGGCCAGGCAAAACACAGTGTCATTCACTCGCCGGAAAACACTCTCCGTTCCAAGGTAAACCTGGACCCCCTCCTCCAGCACCAGAGTAATGAGCGGGAACCCCTCGAGATCCCGCCTCAGATCACCCCAATAACACAATATGTCTGCTCCCCCCGTGTCAAAACGTCTCAACCTCTCGTCCAACAAGCCCCCAACCTCTCCTCTCACCTTCTCGTACACGCCCCTCTCCAGATAAGTGAGCGTGGTGCCGGAGTCAACCAGCATCTTGTAGTCAAAACCTCGTCCATTGAATATATTTAGATTTTTCCCGCCCACGCCGATCCCCCTCAAGCTCACCGCGTAGTGTCCCTGCAAAATACTCAGTGGGGTCGTGAAACCATCATGGATGCCCGAGCCCAAAACCAGACGGCTGTGTGGGTAATTGAGGTCGCTAATGTTACCAAGGCAGTACGAGAACTTGTTGCCCACTCGGGGCAAGAGCGAGCCCTCATTCAGGACCTGGAGGCCGAGGATCCCATTAACCCCATTCAAGTTTCCACTGCTTTCCAGCCCGTACCCAAATGCGAGGTCCGAAAATACGGATGCTGCCCCTGTGGATGTCGCAAACGTGAACTTCTCGAGGGCAAGCACGCCGCTCGAGGCAGAGGCATCCATGTAATTCACATCGTATGTGCACCGGTAATCCCCCCGGCAGTTGGAGAACTCAGAGTGGTAGAGGCATTGGGATTTGGAGCGGCACAAGAGGGGTTTGTACGTGGAAGAGACCACAGGGTTGTAGATGGGGGCTGCAGGGGTGCAACCCGCGCAGCGGAGGCACTGCACCCAAGTTAGGGAACTCCCTGTGTCCATGGACAGGAGTACGGGAACCGAGGGCTCGCCTATCAAGATGTTTACCAGGAAACCCATGCCTTCTTCATCGGGGATTATCTGGCTGACGTCGATTTCGTAGTTTGCCTGATTTGGGAAATTTGAGGTGATGGCATTAGGAATATTGTGAGATGGGCGTAAACTGTGGATGAGAGGGAAGACGAGCTTAGTTGTACTGTTTGAGGGGCTGATTATGGCCGTTGCAGTTGGGAAAGAATAATGTCGGGCCTCTAGAACCACATACAAAGAAGAAGAAAGAAGGCAACAAAACCTTAGGAGTGAATTGTTAAAATTCGTCATCGTTACAAATTCTGTTTGAAAGATGCATATTTATATTGATGAGGAAGCACACATCTTGAATATTAACAATATCATATCTAACATCCATAACAACATTGTTCCTAACACAAAGTCCATATAATAACAGACGGGCACATATAATCCATGTTAACAATCTCATATCTAACAAGCATAACAGCATTGTTCCTAACATATAATCCATGTTAACTAGGAATCAACTTAAGAATAATCTTTGGCCAATCAATGATAAAACAAAAAAAAAAAA